CGTTGGGGTAAAGCAGTATGTTGTAATGTAATTTACATGCTCTATATCGCTTTACAATGCAGACATTTGTGTTACAATCAACAGGAAAACGCACATTGAATTTGTTGACACCATTACATTGGCGAATTATTTGGATTTTATGTATATGGCATTCAAGAGGTCGAGGTCAAACGTATCTATGAGGCAAATATTTCCTCTATTTGTCATATGTTAACAACTGAGTGACGACTACGTGATAAGCGACTTTCGGCGTGATGTTACGAATCACATCAAAAGCTATTATTTGAATACACGTGTGGGGCCTAGGTCATGCCAAACGACGTCATGAAGTCTTACAATGCATTGAGATCATAATCATTAATGTTACACAATTAAGAGGAAGGCTGAACGGTGTTGATCTAGCTATAAAAGACCCCTATTGTGACAGTGCCCACGGGCGATGGCAGTGCAGCCCAAATTATGTATGCAGGGACAAACAATTCAAGGTCATAACTTTGCTCGACCCTTGGAAAATCAGTGTCGCTTGCATGCCAGTGTCCCCCCAAAAAGTAGAGAAATAAGTGATCACCCATGCCGTATATCTGCAACAATTGCAGTGCAAACCATGACTTTCGGTACTCACATGTCTTACATCTATCTGAGCCAGCGTGACCTTGACACGATAAATTCACTTAAACTGGTCACACAGTGCTCACCCCGATGACATCGGCATGGTGGACCATAATAAGCATTCATACATAATTAACAAGTGCAGGTGCCGCAAATCCCATGACAAGGAACCATTGAACATGTTTAACCTAACTCGACCTCACATGACCTGTTCCTTGCCCTTAGACACGGTCTGACCTTGCATCACTGGCGTAGAAATCGGTTTGATCGATAAAAAAGCAATTAACGCGTCCTATTTGCCAAAAAGTGTATTGTATCTCCGCAAATACCTGACTGGCATGGCCTTTACAAAAGGGTTTTCTATCAAGACAATTGGGGAAAAAGGTGCTGCAAGATTAAAACAACGTGTTAAAATTTCAAAAAAATCACCCACTGAAATAAATGCGACCAAAAGGGAATGCTCCATATCTTAAGATATTCCAGCAAGCATCATATATGGTGAAAAAGCCCTCTTGTAACTGTTGGTATACCTGTAAGTGGAAAAGACTAATCCAGGCAACATAATGTTTCTGTGAAGTAAATATATCGCTCAAAACGTCATTGTTTGATAACGCAATCGTGCCTTGCACAGCACTGATTAAGAGCCAATTGGCGGCCGTTTTATCTGAAAATCGTGCTCACGAACGTCAAATATGAACGACTCTTCAATGATATCGTTATTGGCCTTGATCGGCGCTTGGTCAATGGAATGGCGGGAATCGGATTGAGTTCTTGCGACGTCATGGATGTCTGGGTGACCTTGAAATAGTCTGCACGAAGTTGTCGGCGCACCTTCGTGGGCATGTGTAGCCTAGAGACCAAAGGGGTTTTGATCTTAAGAAAGGCAGGGCTGTAGACTGCACCGAATTATCTCCAAGATGGGCACATCAGTTCAAAATGTCATACACATGTGCAACTCTTCGTTTGAAGTGCCTCGCCTTGGGAGCATAATTTAAAAAAAAAACATGGTAAAGTGAAGTCTCAGGATCTACCAATGACAGTAATCGCACTGGGGAGCGAAACTACATCACGAACGGGGTATTATGCATAAATCAATTTCGTTTATTTTCGAGTCCGTATTATGCGCCCGACGTTTCAGGCTAGCACCGGACTTCCTTCTTCTTTAAGTAAGCCCATATATCATGTCTTTCATGGACGAGATGCAGTTCTAAAGCCTTGGGTGATTTTGCGCACCCGAAACGCCGTTCATTATTGTGAAGTTCTTGATCTTGTTGGAAGATTGCTGGATTTGGACGCATTGTATGCAGCATTGTTGAAGACATCGTATGTAAATTGGGATGGAAGGCTTATAAGATGTCAAGAAAGCCTTGTTCAGCATGTGATGGCCCGCTTTCTCAAAATGTCGCATAATGATTATGATCAAAACAATGCAGCCCGTGTCGGAATATTTGCGCAAAGACAAAAATCAAGAGCTTTGATGGTTTTGTAATACACATCATTGATTGCTTGTAGACATTGACAAACTAAAATGTGTTGCTTGGTCCCCTTTATTTTTCAGTTGTATTAAAAAATGTTCAACACCAACTTCTTCGCTGTGTTTTACGTGCTGTGGTCAGTGGTGCATTGGTGGAACATGTGCGCTACTAAACCAGCTGACGTGTCTCTGGTGTATACTTCCGTTATAAACGCAACCTAGGGTGAAACAAACATCCAGGTCAACAATGCTTTACGAAGCCAGAGTCCTTTTGAAGAGAGCCACAATGCTGAGCGCCGAAGAGCAAAAATCAAGGCCATAGTGCAGCGTTTCGTTGAATTCGCGCGAGAATGACCTCATATTTGTATATCTTTTTTTCTGAAAAGAGAGTTCAAAACTCATATTTCATGCCACTAAGGTTTATCATGGTACTAGGATTTTGGTGAATCGGTACAGTGACCACATCGCATAACACGCACGTTGGGAAAAGCCAAGCAAATAGAAATTACTTTTTCGGTAGTCGTGAAGAGGGAGTGAAATAAGCTTTTGTCGTTGCAGCGCCTACTTCAAATCAGATTTCTGAGCTTTTCTGAACGATTTCGACGAAACTGGTATTGCCGATCGAAGCGGACCCGTGTAATCGCATAACATACGCTTTGGAAAGGCCAAACAACTAGAAATTTCCAATTTCATGGTGGTGAAGGGAAAGTCCAATGATACTTCTCCCGCCGAAGCGACTACTTCAAATCAAATTTCTGAGGTTTTTCATAAGGATTTCGAGAACACTGGAGTTACGGATGAAATCGGATCCGTGTGACCAAACTGCGTATGAATAGTGCAGAAGAGGTGGGATACTCCCTTTAAGACTGCAAGGTAAAATTGCAGGCCAAATTTGCACCTAACATTCATGCGTAAGACATGACCCGGATACAGTACGGTCAGCACAAACTTTGCAACCCAATGGGAATCTGGGTCTGCTCTAATGTTGCGGCTTCACTTCCATGGTCACATGGGTCAGCACTTAGGTTTGGAATCAAAGCCGACTCCGGGAATTTTCTGATCAGAAAGTTGAGCTGAGCTGGACGGTGAGCAGACAAAGTTCGGAGCAGTAGTGATGCCAAATGGGCCGTTAATCTGTCACGCCGACAAAAACCATCAGATGTCTTCTTTACGCTTTTTTCATCCTCTAGATCAAACTGAAAGGCACTCAAGACATCCTTGGTGCATAGCCCCAGTATGCACATAGCTCATCTTATTCCAGCCAGTAAGCGCAGTAAACACTAGAGCTGAGGGATTTAACCCACCGTAAAATATTTTTTGAGTTCAACGTGTGCTGAATTGCGCCAGCTTTGCCTGGTTCACACAACGTGTTTATTTGTCGGTGTTCATACTAAAGTAATTCTGATTTCGTTATGTAAAGGTATACGCACCTTACACTATAGCAACCGGATGGCGGTACGGTCAGATATGACGTTTTCGGCCATGACGCTTCTATGCTGTTAGCTATCAGAACGCAGAGCAATTAACAATCTTTTAAGTGCTGTGTGCGTGTACGTGTGCGTGTGCGTGCATGCGTGCGTGCGTGCGTGTGTGTGTGTGTGTGTGTGTGTGTGTGTGTGTGTGTGTGTGTGTGTGTGTGTGTGTGTGTGTGTGTGTGTGTGTGTGTGTGTGTGTGTGTGTGTGTGTGTGTGTGTGTGTGTGTGTGTGTGTGTGTGTGTGTGTGTGTGTGTGTGTGTGTGTGTGTGTGTAATTATGTTTAGAGTGTTGCCTTCCGATTCACCCACCCGTGGCGGGGTATGTTCGAGTTTCTTTAGCGCTCGCTATCTGCCCTTGACAGGTATGGCCTGTGCCGGTGGCAGCGGCCGCGATAAAGGTCAGATGGCGTCAGGGGGCAGGATGGACCGTGTCGAGCATTGCGGCACGATGAGCTTTCGCCACCAAATTCTGCCGTTGACATGGAATTGCGAGTTCGTATGGTAGGGGGCAGGGCTGACACAACAAGCACGGCTTAGCGTAAGCTTTGATCTCAGAAATCAAAGGCTCCGATAAAATCTTTAAAAAAAGGGTTCAAAACTTCGAATTGTCACTTGAAGTGGTTTCCTGACTGCTCCACGTCTGTTGAAAATGACGAGATTCTTCAGATGGTAGCAATTCACCACATCGCGAAAGCAGCTCTTAGGCCTTTTTTGATAAGGCTAGTTCCTTTAGCCACAGTAACACAATCGGTTGGTTGTTTCGATGCATAGTTGTAAGCACGGTCCTGCCTGATGAAATTGCCTGTTACAACATAGTTTAAGGCATCTTACTTTTTAGCAGAACAAGAGTTTTAGAGATGGCTCTGGACTACATTGAATCGTTTACATTTTTTGTTCGTAGGTATGTGAGAAAGACACGCGCGCGCCGTGGTCGAATTAAGAGACATTGGATTTCGATGCATCTTTACGCCATTTTGTTGGCGTCCAACGGTGACATCAGCGGCAATGTTATGTGTAGAAAAAAATAGCTTGACAGCTCCGACCTGAAATTTTTCCACCGATGACTGGAAACGGCCAATGAATAATGGAGTACTTCAATGATCATTAGCCGGCGCCCCTTGCTAGGCCATAGACACGCATTTCACATCTGAATGCCTTTAAACGACAATTTGTAGTGTTAACCGTCGACACGAAAGCACTACGGCGGTCGTGAAATCTTATCAAACGCGACGCAGGCTGGGAGCCTCGGCTGGCTGGTCTGCACGAGCGCGCCAGTGACGTCACAGCGCGCGTGCCCGGCGCGGGCCCGTCGGTGGCCGCCGGATGTGGCCGCCGGCTATAAAGCGGCGACCCGACGGCGCCGGAGGCAACAGGTCCCGCTGGTGCGCCGCTCGGCCGCCGGAGTCGACGGCAGAGGTCACAGGTCACCAGCTGGGCGGCAGCTCGCTGAGGATACCCAGGTCCGGCATCAGGTGGGCCGCCACTATCTGTCCTGTCAGTGACTTTTTATGAAATTGAGCAGCTCGCTCTCCTGTTGAAACTAGCATGATGTGTTCACGCGGCATATAGCTCTTAGCCGATTAAATTTCTAGAATCAGGTTTAGTCTGCACTTTCTAATCTAAATTCAATTCGCCCGCCAGGCTTCGCTTTGCGCCAAATTAATAGTCTCGACAAATAAATATATGATTGGTAGATATAGATATATATCACTCTCTCTTTCTCCTCCCTCTCTCTCCCCCTCCCTCTCTCTCTCCCTCTCTCTCTCTCTCTCTCTCTCTCTCATCTCTCTCTCTCTCCTCTCTCTCTCTCTCTCTCTCTCTCTCTCTCTCTCTCTCTCTCTCTCTCTCTCTCTCTCTCTCTCTCTCTCTCTCTCTCTCTCTCTCTCTCCCTCTCTCTCTCTCTCTCTCTCATCTCTCTCTCCTCTCTCGCTCTCTCGCTCTCCCTCTTTTCATATTTATATAAACTCAGCCCAGTGAGGGCATCCCAGAGTGAGGGGGACACCCCAATGACATAATCCAGACATAGATTTACCAAACCTATCCCTAAGTTCTGATTTCTCCTCGGATTTAGGGACTTTGATTCTTCCGTCGAAATAAAAAAAGTGCTAGAGCTGCAGTGAGTGGGGGAAAATTATCTGGTTAGTGTTTGCGTGGGGGGGGACGGACATGATTTCAAAGGCCCTAGCACTACCGGAAGAATTAACTTCAACTGAGAACATTAACCCTGCTTGACGATTGAATGAAAACATACAGTAACTACCTGCACAGGGTTACTGACAACACACACACGTACGACCAAACATGTGCCGACAAGTCAGCAACATGCAGCTTATAGAAAGTCTTTGAATAATAATAGTACGCAAAATGGAATGCACAAAAATAGAGATAATATATGCCGCAAAACAGAACAATATATCAATGCTAAACGAAAATAGGAGCTGGGAACGGTGGAAACGTGCAGTGGCTAAGCCACGCTGGAAATAGCATTCCTCGGCGAAAGTGGTGATCAAGACGTGGCTTAACGAGCTCAGTGAAGAGCTCCTCGCAACCTCAGAAGAGACTCTTTCCCAGAAAGAGCACAGTCTTGACACTTAATGACTTCTGCTGAACTTGAACTTGAAGGACTCTGAGACTCGTCTGTTCATAATAATTTGCCAAATATTTCACCATTTCAGGAGCTTGTCTTTAAACCCCATCTTAAATATCATTTAGATCATGAGAGAGCTGAGGATTTGCGAGTCGGGAAAAATACTACATGTGAGGTGTTACCGATAACAAAATGGTCGGCTTATGGCTTCTCTGCTTTGAAAGTGCACAGTCGCGCTTCTCTGTGTTTGTTTGCCTAATCACGCATCCTTAATGCCTTCCTTTTATTCACCTCACAGTGCTTTGTATTTTATGAAGATAGTTGCTTACCAAAAGTTTCATGAGCTGTAATTTGGCTGATTGTATTGATCGAATGTAGGTTGTGGCCCTTCCTTTAATAAAGAAAATGATGACGTCTTTTCCCAGAATGAAAAAAGTTACTGCTGCATTAGCTAATCAATTGTCTCTGCATGCTTTACCATCTCACTTCAAATTTGAGCCAATTTGCAGATGTGTGCAGTCTTGAATGGCGTGCATGCTTCGGGGTAAACTTAACATCATCTACAACCTATATCATTTTAGAAGAAAGGCCGTCTTCAATTGCGTAGACGTCGGAGCGTTTGAATAATGGCGGGTAGGTAAATTTTCTCGGGATAAGTTTAATGAACTGTTACTGGAGAGGCAGGCCCGACGATTTTGCCTAAAGCTGTCTTCGAATCATTGGTTGCATCGCCCATTATTCGAATCTGTGGTACATTTTAAATAACGGGTTCAGGTAAGCCACGTACCTAAGGCATCTTCCTTCACATATAATACGTTAACATATGACCTGGGCCAGGTTAGTCAGAGCTGTAAACTGGAACGCATGGCTCATAGAACCCCAAAATAAATTTTCATGTGTCTGGATTTCGCCGACTTCTTTCAAGAGACTAGATTTTGTCACAACATTTTAATTAGACAGAAATTCCGAAGTTTGAAGCAGAGTGTGCGAGAACAATACGATAAAAGCCAGAAAACCGGGTTTTCATGTAAAAAACCTAACTGACAGAATTCAGGTGCTTCTTTCGGGTGCCTATCCTCCGTCAGACTTTTCTCCTGTCCGCCATCGACGGCCACCGCCCTGCCCCGGCTACTGCCGTTGGTAGTGGTCGCTACCGTGTGACTGGCTGCGAATTGATCGTCCGCCTGCTCCGTTGCATGTTCCTGGACCGGCAACATTACTTATTGGTGCATAAAGCAGGTGGGACGCCTGCTTGAGTGGCTATTCTCGAGTTATTTTTTGCCCTGGCACCACGTCACAGCACAATATAACATTTCAAGAACCGGCTGTCCTGAGGTCCGAGTTGGTCCACCGAGCATTCACCTTTCCCTCAACCAACAAAGCCGGCTTGGTCCGTTTTTAGATCTGGAACGAGGGTGCACACTTCTCAGACATGTTAAGTGCCGGTATCTGTCGCAGGCGTCTAACGTAACCCGTGATTTTAGGGGAAAAACTACGCGTTTCATGTATTGCCGGCATTTCATGCAACTTTCGTAAAAGTATGACTCCTTCATTATGTTACCGAAAGTTTAAGTTGTTTCTTGAAATACCCACCTGGTTGAGTACATATACCTGTCAAGTGCTTTCCACTAAGTATTTCATGAAACGCCTTAAAATGAAGGCAGGCAAAACCGGGCTTAGACTGTTTTGCATAGACGTTTCATGCTTGATGTTCCGTTAAATGATCGATGTCATTCATTGACCCTTTGCCTGATGGGAAAGAACTAATTATACACTGAGTCATCAGGCGTCGACCGCCCGGTTTTCACCCGTTTCATGTTTGCGATTCAGTAGTCAATCGTTGGATGTATGTAAACTCACTCACATAGTTTATTGGTGCATTGGTGGTAAACTCCCGCAACCGCACAAGTGTAGCTCAGACGTCTGGCTTCAGCACTTGGTAGGTACTTGGTCTGAGTCCCGGAGGCGGCTGATTGATTTGAGTTTGATTGGTTTGAGTTTGATCCGGCAGATGTCAGTTGGTGGGAGGCGACAGGGTCCCCACGATTATGTGGCGTAACCATATCAAAACATTGGATGGCACGTAAAATCCTGTCTGAACGGGTGCAGGCAAAATTATCTGTCGTACTGGGCGAGGTGGCAGTCTCAAACAGCCATCTCTATACACTGTTCGGACTAAACTAAAGCAAAAGAGTACTGCAATTTGAGAAAAATAGCATGAATTTTGTGACTTAACACAAACAGCATTCTAAAATACTAAAGAACGTTGACAAAACACTTCTCTGCAATACAAAACGCATGTGCGAGACGAACAAACATCGCCATTTGTCGCAGCCTATTTGTTTATACAGGGCACCGAATCGCGGCAGCCAGAAAAGCCTATCTCACGCGCTGCACGGTACTTCCAGCACATCCAGCACTTCCAGTACATGGCGCAGCATTGTTTTTCCCCTGCCCAACCCGCATATCTGGTGCACTTCTGTCTCTGAAACCAGAGCTGTCCACGAAATGCCTCCCGCAAACTCGTGGCGTTCTGGTCGTCATTGTTGGCCGCAGAGACCGTCGGCACTTGCTCGGACGTGCCGGCTCCCTCCTGACGACTTTTTAAACACTTGTTAATCAGCTGTACATCGCTGAGAATCACGTGACCAGCCCGTGGGAAGTTAGTGCAGCTCATCTTACCTTTGAAGATAACAACACATCGAGCCATACTGATTATTCAAGCAAACAGCAAACGAGGCCGACCACACAGTATGATCCATGCTCGACCAAAAGGGATCGTCACCAAGTCTGATTTGGCGTACACTGGCGGCTGCATGCCATGCGTGTTTTGACTGGTGTGCGTGCATGGTCTTCGTGAAACAGAAAAGTGCATAGTTCGATGACTTGGGCACACGACACACTCCAGGTCGATGCCGGCGTCGGTGTGATGATGCTGCGATTTCTCGTATCTCGGCGGGAAGCTTACGTCCAACGCCAGTGATATACTTCAGCGAGCATACTTTGCAAACTAGCATACTTTGGCGAGCACATGGCGTTTATGAATAATCACAGCATGTTTCTTCACACACAACGGTAATAACCAGACAGAAGCTCACTTGCTGCCACATTTTTCACATCCGAAGATCCAGGTACGCAGCTGCTCACGTGATACACTTTTAGCCTAAACGCATGCATTTACGTTAACGCTGGGCTGAAAACGGGGGGCTGGTGTAGCCTAGTCTTGTCTTTATAACACTCGTATCTAGCCATTTTTTGGCTTGGTTTGTGAAGTGACGCGTGGTCTTCCCTCTGGTCTTGCCTGGTCTGGCCTGGTTTTGTCCGGACGAATCTTCAAATCGGGGTCTGCTCTTGTTCTTATGCTCTGTCCATTAGGACCTGGGCCAGTGTAATCTGGTCTGCAGGTCAGCACCGAACCTGATGAGTTGTGGTTTGGTCTGTAGGTCAGCATCCAGTCTGGTGTTTTATAGTCTGGTCTGTAGATCAGTACACGGTCTGGTGTTTTATATTCTGGTCTGAAGATCAGCACATACTTTGGTGTGTTGTAGTCTGGTCGGTAGGTGAGCACCCATTTTGGCGGTTGTGGTCTGATCTCTAGGTCAACCCCCAGTCTGGTCGGTGTTTTACAGTCTGATATGTAGACGAACGCCCAGTGTGATGCTTATAGTATGATCTGTAGGTCAGGGCCCAGTCTGGTATTTATGGTCTGGTCTGTAGATGAACACCCAGTCCGTTAAGTTATGATCGGGTCTGTAGATCAGAATCTGGTCTGGTACGGCATGGGCAGGACTTGAAAACAGCGCCTAGGCGGCTTGTATGGTCGGATCAGCAGCTCATCACCTGGTCTGGTTCAGTCTGTCATCGCCTAGTGTGGCCGGATCAGCAGCTCATCACCTGGTCTGGCCCAGTCTGTCATCACCTAGTCTGGTCCAGTCTGTCATCACCTAGTATGGTCGAATTAGCAGCTCGTCACCTGGTCTGGTTCAGTCTGTCATCACCTAGTCTGGTCCAGTCTGTCATCACCTAGTCTGGTCGGATCAGCAGCTCATCACCTAGTCCGGTCCAGTCTGCTCTCTAGCCCAGCGCCTCGTCCGACACGTGTGGGTCGTCTCACCTGGCCCGGTCTGGTCTGGCCTGCCAGCCGACGTCTCCCGTGACCAGACCCGGCAGGCCGGCGCCGGGCCCTCGGACTGAGGGTGCGCCCAGCGGCGCCTATCATCACCATCCCGAATTCCTGGACGCGACGGCACGTGACCTGCATGACCGCCGTCCACGGAGCCGGGCCGCGCCATAACGCCGCGTCCAATGGGGCACGTCGGCTGCCCTCGCCGGGGCCGTTATTAACGCCGGGTGTCAATGGTCCAGGGGGAGGGGCGCGGGCGACAACCCATGCCGTTGACGAATGACGCCACCGTGGGCTTGAGAGGGGGGGGGGGCGGGGGAGGGCGACAGTTGACGGTGTCCACTTCCCAGGGGAGGGGGGTGTGTGGGTGTGGAAGATACTGTGTAAGAATGGGCGTTGGGTGTGGAAATAGTGTCATGCGATAAACGCATGATCTTGGCCACTTTACCCGAGATGTCATGGGTCTCACACGCTTGCGCATGCTTACGACATGCGGCATGTTTTAACCTGTCCTGGGCCACTTGCCCCGGAGTTAAGCGGTATTATTTCGATGCAGTGTTATAAAAAACCTGTGTGACTAATTTGCGATAGTTTGGATACTTTCACTGAGGCAGCAGAGGCTTAAATGTTGTCCTTTTTAAAGAAAACAAAAACGCTGAGGAAAATAGATGACGTAACACACCTAATAGGCATTTTTTTGAAGCACATTACTGGCTTGATTGCGTGACCTGTGACTGATTTAGTGCCTGTAGCCTCGCTAGGTCTGACCGGTGGGTGAACTGTGGCTGATATAGTGCCTGTAGTCTAACTGGGTCTGACCGGCGGGTGACTTGTGACTGATTTAGTGCCTGTAGCCCCACTAGGTCTGACCGGCGGGTGACTTGTGACTGATTTAGCGCCTGTAGTCTCACTGGGTCTGACCGGCGGGTGACCTGTGACTGATTTCGTGCTTGTAGCCCCATTAGGCCTGACTGGCGGGTGACCTGTGACTGATTTAGTGTCTGTAGTCTCACTAGGTCTGACCGGCGGGTGACCTGTGGCTGATTTAGTGCCTGTAGTCTCACTAGGTCTGACCGGCGGGTGACCTGTGACTGATTTAGTGTCTGTAGTCTCACTAGGTCTGACCGGCGGGTGACCTGTGGCTGATTTAGCGCCTGTAGTCTCACTAGGTCTGACCGGCGGGTGACCTGTGACTGATTTAGTGCCTGTAGTCTCACTAGGTCTGACCGGCGGGTGACCTGTGACAGATTTAGTGCCTGTAGTCTCACTAGGTCTGACCGGCGGGTGACCTGTGACTGATTTAGTGTCTGTAGTCTCACTAGGTCTGACCGGCGGGTGACCTGTGACTGATTTAGTGTCTGTAGTCTCACTAGGTCTGACCGGCGGGTGACCTGTGGCTGATTTAGCGCCTGTAGTCTCACTAGGTCTGACCGGCGGGTGACCTGTGACTGATTTAGTGTCTGTAGTCTCACTAGGTCTGACCGGCGGGTGACCTGTGACTCTAACTGGGCTTGGTGTCCGACGGACTGAGACTGGCTGGCGGCTGCTTAGCTCTGACTTAAGGTTTGGTACGTATGGTCACTTATTGGTAGAGCAGGCACGGGGCATTCAGAGGCATGTGCCACGGGCAAAGGTTGTCCCTGACTTCATATGTTTACATCCGCCACTGACAAAAGCTGAAGTTTTAAGTTTCATATTAAGATATAATATGAAGTGATTACTATGTGTATCGGTCGCAAGATCTTTTTTCAAGCATCACTGAGGGACACTAAGCACAAAACTTCATGAACTTCGCACGTCCCCACAGCACAATCTCGCAAGAAGCGCAAAGGGAAGAAAACATGTTTCGTCGCATGTTGCTGAATATTGGCATGATGGTCGCAGCCATCCATCATTCCGCCAGCGGACTGACGCCGATTGTGATAGCGATGCGATAACATTCGCCAATAGCAGGACGGCTTCTCTCTATCGCCGGCTATTATGATGAGGTTTCCCATCGTCGGCGGTAGCCGCATGCCCTGCCAACATGGACATATGATGAAGCATGCAGCCAGGCAGCTGCGTTTCTCAGACCTATCCTGCCTTCAGTGTTGCGCATTATTCGTTCTTGATTCATTCCGCGTAAATTGTCGCCTTGGCGATAACTCAGTCGTGCGACTTCCAAGCAATGCTACAGGCTCCTTCGTTGAATCGCTCTCGCACCTCAGGTGAGGTCGTGGTCATCAGGGGCGCGCGCGCGCGCGCGCACACACACACACACACACACACACACACACACACACACACACACACACACACACACACACACACACACACACACACACACATACGCACACACACACACACACACACACACACACACACACACACACACACACACACACACACACACACACACACACACACACACACACACACACACACACAAAGACACACAGGTCAGGTCGGTCAGCAGCAGGTCAACAGTGGTCGGGAGTGAGAAGGCGGTTGAACCAATTGAAGTAAATTACCGAATGAAATAAGCGACGTTGAATCAAACTTTGGTCGGCATTTTCATCTTAGATTACAAATCGTATGGTCGCATTGAGCCCACTACTTTCTACCGGCAACCATGATTTCGGTATTGGACCAACCGCTGCAGCCTGCTCTCGGTATCGGACCAACTAATGCAACCATGATCCCGGTATTGGACCAACTAATGCAACCATGATTTCGGTCCAAGTGTGAACAACCGGCTCCCCGCGACAGAGGGGTCGGCCGGGCCCAGGGTCGACCCTCTCAAGACCTCGCGTCTCACCGTATCGGCTCCCCGCGACAGAGGGATCGGCCGGGCCCAGGGTCGGCCCTCTCAAGACCTCGCGTCTCACCGTGCCCGCAGCCGAGGCGGCCGGCGGCTCGTGCCGTCGAGCTGACCGGCCGGTGCCCCTCGGAGGGGCCGGGGCGGCCGCTGCGCGCGGCGTCGCCCCATCGGTCAGCCGGATGGCCGCCAGATAGCGGCCGGAGGGACCGCGCGCCGGCCTCTATCTGTCCGGTCCGCTGCCGCCGCCCGCCGTCCCGGCGCAACCCCGCCCGCCGCCAGAAAAACAGCCGCGCCCGGGTGGCGGCGTGTCTTTGTGGACGATCAGCCCGTCTTCTGCGCAAGCCGACGCCGCGCAGGGGGGGGGGGGGGGTGGAACGGACCCGACCAAACCCCGCATCGGGACCTATGAAGCAAACGTAACCAATTTGTTTAGTGGCACGCCGCCGGCTTCCGAGCTGTTGGATCGAAATTGTTTCCAGGAAAGCTCCCGAGTGAATGCAGCGGTAGGCCATCGTGTCGTGGGAAATCTGCACAAATCATCAGTTTCATTACAATCTACAGGCATTTCCTTCTTCTATTGCAGTTAATGGAGGCAGTGATCGATAGTTTGGTTCACGACGCATATCACCGTTATAGCCGTAAGGACTCGTTACGGTATAAAAGGCACGAAAAAGCTGAGAGTTGGAAAGTTAATTAAATATAGCGTGCACAAGTCATATTACCGAACGCGGGGTTACACTCGGCTTGAAAACCTATGTCAAGTTTCCTTGATCCCAAAGCGTCGAGCTCACACCCAGCCTGGTCACTTTCACTCCTCGTCTCCGTCATACGACTTCATGCAACAGCCCATTGGGAAATCAACAGAAGCTCGTTTTTCTTCATAACATCCATTCAAATCGGTAAAAGCATCAGACGCACTAGCCACCGTCCCAGCCGGCGGCGCATCACATTTCTCTAGCTGGCTTCCCGAGAATGTCACTATCATTTGCTGTCCTGGGCTGACACTGAACCGCATTCTCCTCCGCTTCAGGATGGCGTGGATGGCGTCAATGCTGATACTGGGTGCAGCGGTGTCACTCTCCAGAGCGGCCAACGTCGACGTGCTTAGCAGGATCGACCGCAGCCTCATCCCCTACAGCGGCATGAGCAGCGCTCGCAGCCCGCTAAGAAGGTCAGCGGCACGTCACCGGCAGCAGGGTTGGCCGTCGTCCGACCTTCCCGGGCTGTCATGGGCCGATGTGCGATCCTCACAGCGTCACGCAGTGCATGACAGACGATTGACCCGTCATCCGCCTGACGGCTGACCCGACTGTACGGCTCTGACATAAGCTTCATGTGCTGTCATGCGCCTGATGCCATCATTTCGTTTAAATATGTGACACGTGACAGCGCGCACTGCCAAGGCTGAGATGGAATTGCTTTAAAATCACAGGGAGCGCATTGAGATTCCGGGTCATTTTTTTTTGCACAGCATGCACCGACCCCACGTTAGAGTTGAGAACCATTAGGGGGAGGGCGGCTCGATCTCCTCCAAGGTTACTAAAAGTCCTATCCATGTTTCAACGCACAAGAAAAAGATAGACGTCTGAAATCATTTTCTCCCAGAGAACAATACTTTGCACACATCGTAGAGCACTCGCCGCCAGCGTCACCAATCTTGGTGCGCCGCAAACAGCTTTGCGCCAACCATGGGGTGGTTGTCTGCGTGCTCTCCGATAAATTGGATAGTGGGGCACGCACAAACAGACCGGACATGCGCTGGGTCAATGGATAACGACCACCGGCGATCGTTAAATGTTGTGCACGACTGTGTAAATGTACCTTTGGTCGGCACAACGCATTGACGCTGCCGGCATCACACCTGTCGCTAACAACGACCCTCGCCGTATCGTGGCCGTCTCAGCGGTGTGCAGTTTTGCCGCCGCGCGCGAGTGTGTGTGCGTATGACTGATGGGGCTTGTCGTGCATGCCATTATCGCTCGGTCGTTGCCGAATGACCCCCCGCGCCACACAACAAAGCCCCGAGTGCCCACTCTTAAGCTGTCACACCCCCGCAAGCAGAAACACATGGCCTGGGAGCGGGAGTGACGCCACTCGTGCGACATCGATGGCGCGTGACGGCCACCGCGTGACGCGTGGAGGCGCCGTGACACTCGCAGGGTCAAGCGGGCTGAGGGCCGCGCAGTCTCAGGTCATTGTGCGGGCTGAAGCCTGGACACGCGGTGTGACCGTGGGCACGACCAGATCTGACTGTCACGAGTGGGCCAGGTCACGACCAGGTCCGACTGTCACGACTGGGCCAAGTCACGACCAGGTCCGACTGTCACAAGTGGGCCAAGTCACGACCAGGTCTGACTCACGAATGAACCAAGTCACGACCAGATCTGACTGTCACGAGTGGGCCGAGTCACGACCAGGGCTGACTGTCACGAGAGGGCCAGGTCACGACCAGGGCCGACTGTCACGAATGGGCTAGATCCCGACCAGGTCTGCCGCGAGTGGGCCGAGTCACGACCAGGGCTGACTGTGACCAGTGGGCCAGGTCACGGCCAGGCCTGACAGTCACGAGTGCACCGAAAGTCTAGGCACGTGCCAGTGCAACGTGCCGATCAATTGTACGGAACCCGGCAGCCGCGGTCGGCGCAGGCTCTCGTAACGTGTTTCGAGAGTTCAGTGCTTTAAATACAGCGCAGAATGGAGAGATGAAGCGAACTGACGATCAAGTTCACTGAGGACGTCCGTGCTTTTGCAACACTTCCCAATCAAGCAAAATACTAACATGCCGAGAACGAACGCTTCATTATATTGATGCAAAAGAGCAGCCAAAGACCTAACACGTCCTGCACGATTTATCAAATCCCGTGAGCCATTTGCGCTGTTTTCTCGCTACCAAGGGTGCAACAGCAGCGTGAACCCGCTACTCGCCCTTTCCAATGTCCATATTCCAAATTACATTCCGTATGGTCTGTTCTTCTGATAAAGTACTTTGTTCTCCGTGGAAAATTGTAGCAGAATCTGCACTTCCACTAGACATTGTACTTCACTCAGCGGCGAAATAGCCGCCGTGCTCTCACATTATTAAACGAGGATGAAGCTAATCATGCTAATGCAGTGATGCGGTGACACCATCCAAGTGGAAAGTTTCCAAGAAAGTCCACAACACACCAAAACTGGTGCCTTTGGAGTCACTTAAGTGGCGCATGGCTTAAAACGCTCCACAAAGATGGATGAGCATCTCATACTTGATTTTTTAAAGTGAAGATCACCGTTGGGAGTTTTGGTTGTGGGTACAGGGCAGGTTGTTTGGCTTATGCCCATCCTTAAAGGATAGACATAAGTCAAACCGTTCCACATTGATATGGGGGTTTTAACTGAAATAGTCATCTTAAAGACTTTTCGGTGCTGTTTACAATGCTGCCCATCTTAAGACCAAGCCCCTCTAGTTCCTGGGAAACGCGCCAACGAAAATGGAGAAAGGCATATCGGAGAGAGTATTTCAAAGTCACCTTAGCTTTCATGACGTCATAATAGCGTCATTCAAATCGTGCCATTCCATAAGCCATGCGGTGATCAAGGGGAAGAAAAACGTAATTGTCGAGGCGTTTGTATCTGGGGTTCGTGAGCGCGATCTCCAGATGCAACGGCCGTTAATTAGAGTTCAATCAATGTTGTGCAAGTTACGATGAAGTAATCGAACTATGACGCATTGATAAGCACATTTACTTAACAGAGAACTGTGCTGTCTAGAGCAATCTTTTGCTTTTAAAAAGTATACCACTAGTCGTTAGTGACCTTTTAGTAATATAATATGTAAGAAAACTTCATCATATATGATACTTGCTTCACTATCTTCAACTGTGAGACACTCCTTATAAAAGGAGTATCCCACCTTTGTCGTACATTTCACTTATTGTTACATAAGACGCGTAAGTGCGATTTGATCAGTAATACCAGTTTCCTCTATATCCTTTTGAACAGGCCAGAATTTATATTTTAAGTCGCCGATCTGGCAAGAGAAATCTCACTTGACTCCCTACTCATCACCATGAAAGTAATGCATTTAATTTGCCTGACGTTTTCCAACGAGTGTGGTCTGCAGTGTTTGCAACACATCGATGCGTCAAATGTTCGTGTAATAAGTGCTACGCAAGCTTGAAACACTGTTGAGGCAAAAATATATGCCAACATGAAGCCATTATCCCGTGAATTCATGGACACTTAGTACTATGGCTTTGATTTCTCCCCTACGACGTTTTCCACAGTGGCTCTTTTCTAGGCGCACTTTAACTTTGGGAGTGGGAGCATCACATGATCTATATGACGCGCTGTTTCAGTCTTAAAGGGAGCGTGTCTAATCAAGTTGGGATTTTCAACTGTACGCGTAGTATGGTAAGGAATTTCGATTTAGCAATTTTGGTGTCACTGGTCTCCACCAATTCGCCTCCACTGACAAGATATTGCCACAGACCACACATTTTCTTCGGTTTGTATGGAAGAACGAAGTTATCGGGTAGTCCCCAAGCATTATTCACGACTACACACATCGACATCATTGAGAAGGTATCGTTAACTCTAGCCAATGGCTCTTCGAGGATGTCGCTTGTCAGCCCTGACAGGAGCTTGCGAATGCAGCGATCGCGGCAGCCGGTTTGTTTTCTTGTCACATTCAGCTGAGGGCTAAGGGTGCACGGGGTTGGACGTCTGGTAAGCGTTCGAAATAACAAGGCAGGTAAGCTGAAATTGTTGCTGCCATGTCGCTGGTACACCAGGCATCCTCAGGGTACCATATTTTTCCGCCTCGAATTGCGCAAAGAATCTTCAAGCGCGCACCGCTCTGTACCGCCAGCGCTCTCCCTATACGAACAATACCGTAGCAACCAAGGTAATGGCCATGCCACCAGCGCGCAGTCATTCGCCACACACGAGCTAGTGCATTCGCCCTTTCCCGCTCGATGATTGGCTCATTTTTCAGCAGTGTTTGTTCACGCCCAGCCATCAATGCCATCCATAAAAATGACTAAATCAAAACTGTCGCAAGACCAAACGCACATTTAATCACTAAAATTAGCCATGGATAAATGCAGAAACCCCCTTAGGTGAGTATTTGGAAAATCGGAAACACTGGACATATTACCTTTAAACCAACCAATTTATCGCTAATGAGCCCTTGCCCGCTGGGCGAATCACAAACGTTCTTTTATCCATACTAATAGTGATGCGCGCAGTTGTTGTCATGACAACGGTAGTTTGCTGTTACATAGCCTTGATAGCGTAATTTGGGCTCGAAAACAATGAAAACTGACATTCTTTCTTTTTTACGGTGCTGCAGTGGCACTACCCAGTGCTATTATCGGACTGACTTGTCCTGAGCTTTCACAACAGTGCGTTTTTGAAATATCTCCCAAAGATAGGACACTACCTTTAACGGGACTGTTCCACATTTGTATGGGATTTTGAACTGAGGCGGACATTTTCAAAATCATTCCATGCAGCTTGCAGTTCCATTCTTTATGAAACATCTTTTTTGATTTCTGAGCTATACACAGGCGAACTTGTGCAAACTATGTCGCGCCGACCAATTCGAGGTTACTCAGGCATTATGCCGTCGCAAAAACGTCAGGTAAATTGCCCCACCCCAATAGCCATATTGTGCGTAAGGTAAAAACTAATATGACCAATGGAATGTTCGTGTCTGGAGCACTTCAGCGTGAATCGTCGCATCCGCAGAAAGCAATTGGTGAACAAGCAGTTACAGGGACAGGTAGCATGCCTCGATTACTAACCGCGTGTTGTGATACACGATACAGGCATTTGGGCAATCCTTTTAGTGATGACGGACAATAGGGTAAGCATTGATGACAAAGGCATAGGCGATACCTCGCCTGAATAACGCCATAATCGAATGGTGTACCAATACAAGTAAAAAATGGCAGCACGGAAATATAAAAAAGAACACCACAAGAAAAGACCAAAGCACGTGGACATTCCGCTAGTGACACAAGTATAGACGCCTAGAGTACTAACGTCATCTCGCGGCGCCTAGGGCACCACAAGCGAGTCACTCCGTCTGCTACAGTAGCGGGCAACCAGGCGGCAACTCTGACGTCATAAAATCGTTTCGTACGTCGTCAAACGATGCCACATTGAGGAGAAAATTTAATGGATAATGAGACCTTGTTATTCAAGGCAGTTATTTGCATTTCAAAGCGTGCCAATAGTTACAAGTGAGCTTTTCGGTTATATCTGATGCTTGCCTCAATGTCTCACTTCACTTCCTTAAAAAGAATTACCGCGTCGGTGTGTTAATTGCCCAGTGTGAAAAACCACTCCTCTTCTCGGGCCGTGCTCATGGGCGTGCATTATTCTCAAAGTAAATGTGCAGCGACGTAGTGCTTGCTTCGATCCAGCATATACTAAGGCACAATGCCTTACCTTCTCACTGCATCTGTCACTTCAACTCCATCCACGCCCTTATGTGTTTGTTGGCAGGTACCGGTACCCCATTTACACCAAGCGAGCCTATGTGGAGGACCAGGATGAGAATGGCGATGACAACGCTCCCGAGACCGACAAGCGCTTCCTCCGCGGGCTCAATCTGCGCCCGCTGTCGCTCGGCTACCGCGCCAAGAAGATGCACGGCCTCGCGCCGCGCTACGACATCTCCATGACGCCATATGACCTGAAGGCCATGGCCATGCTCTACCGGAGCGGCCGCCGGAAGCGCACGCCCGACCTCTACGACCTGAAGCGCATCTACCGCATCTACGAGGCGGGCCGAAAGCGCAGCGCGTCGGCGGCCGGGGCCAGTGAGGGCGGCACGCGCGAGCGACGCGACTTCTCCTACGACGTGTGGGACGCGGCCCGGCTGGCCGACGCCGGCAAGCGGTCGCCGGTGACCAGCTACTACGACCTGCTGGACATGGCGAGGATGGCCAAAGCCGGAAAGCGGGCGGCGATAGACGGATACCACCTCTGGGACCTGGCGCAAATGGAGCAGGCCGGGAAACGCTCCGTCGACGACTTGGGCCTCTGGGACCTGGCGCGGATGGAGCAGGCCGGGAAACGCTCTGTCGACGAGTTGGGCCTCTGGGACCTGGCGCGGATGGAGCAAGCGGGGAAACGCTCCATCGACGACTTGGGCCTCTGGGACCTGGCGCGGATGGAGCAGGCCGGGAAACGCTCTGTCGACGACTTGGGCCTCTGGGACCTGGCGCGGATGGAGCAAGCGGGGAAACGCTCGGTGGACAACCTCCACCTTCTGAAGCTGGCTGGTATGGCCGACGCTGGGAAAAGAAGCGCTCAGCACTTCATCGGCCCCTACAGTTACAAGGGCCTGTACAGTCTGTACGGAAAGCGCACCGCGAATGGGGAGGACGACGACGAAGGGCACTCGGCTTCTGTGGCGGGATCGGCCAAGCAGAAGCGCAGCTTCGATGACTATTTCGGCTGGGACCGTAAGAAGAAGTCGGTCGTGGAGGATGCCATGACCGACAGCTACTTGGCGACGTTGAAAAAGCAGATGGCGGACAAGACGGAGAAGAGAGGCTCCTCGGATGGCATGGGTATGGTCATGAAGAAGGCGACTGGCGGTGAGTGGATGAGCACCCCGGCGGCAGCCCTGTTCAGCAGCATCGCTTATATAAATAATGTTGTTGTAATATCTGATGCAGCCATGGCCTGCAACGACATACGGGCAAAGTAATTCAAACTACCCGGACTCAAACTCAAGGCCTGTGCAGCTTTTATCAGAATGAGCGTCAACATTACCCGACAAAAGAGCAGGTTGTCAGCTTCTGTGCCTGTAGATAGAATCACACGCCAACCTTGTATTTACGGGCTGTGTCTACAAAGCACAACTTTGTATGCCAATCGCACTGCAACTTTGTGTTGACGAGCGAGCAGCTGTCTCAGTCTTCCCCACACAGTGAGACTTCTAGCATGCGATGTGGGGCAGCCCTGAATAACTGAGCGCGTAACCGAGCGACCTGCGGCAGGAGCGATCACCCGGCTCTCTTTTCTCCTCAGGTGATGAGGACTAGATCGTCCGCCGGCCCGTCCCAAGCCAGTTGGAGCGAGCACGGATGCCGGCGCCGGGCCCCGGGGACCGCCGCGGGACAAGATTAGGGCCGGTGTCTCTCGGGCGGCTCCGGCGGCGCCCGCCGCCGAGAGTCCCACCAGCCAATCAGCGGCCCCCGTTTCGGCGCGCTGCCCCGTCAGCGCGTACCCGGCGGCGGTCGTCTGCGCTCGCGGCGGCCGGCTGATTGACGTGACGGCGCGCGACACCGAGATGCTGTCAGTGAAGCGACGCTATCCTACCGATGGCGAGTGCCGTCGCGTGACTCTCGTACAAGATGTGGGACCCATGAGGCCGGCCAATCACTGTTCGATGTGATCGCATCCCGAAACCGGTGACCCTGACTGGTGATTTCCGATGCAGTCTCCCGTGCGTTCATTCTGTTGCGAATGCAACCCGCTCGGTTAAGATGTAGAGGTTGTTTTACGCCGATGCCTGTCATATCATCGTTTGTAGGTACCCTGTGAGCACAGCTAGAAGTCCTGAGGGTATGCGGAGTAGGACACTTCATAGATTTTAAAATGTATCAGTGGGACCTTGGCGAGCGTCAAGTGTTTCGATGCTTTAAATTCTTTTGATGATAGCAGAGGATCTTAGAAGGAGAACCCTTCGGCGATGCCCGCTACGATCTCAAACGAACAGAGGCTGTCCTGATTTGTGCGTTCGTAGTATTTAGTGCCCCTTTTCAACTACCATCAACAATAAGTATGTCTACCGTACATGCCTACTTCATTTTCAACGTTATTTATGTATTGTGACATTCGGCAGGTTCAAATATACTGAACTCTGAACAGCTGACAAACGTTTTTAGGTTCTTTTCCCTTGACGGACCTGCCACGAAATATGTCGGACACCACTTGTTAATGACAGCTGATATATTCATGAAAACGCTGTTTATGTTCAAGACATGCATTCATTAGCTAGCTAAACCTTCACAGACGTTTTGGGAAGCTCGTTGTTAAAAATAACAGTCATGCAATCGCTGCTGTTTCTTTCCTTAAACATCGAGAAGACCTATTTTTAAGCAAAACTGCTCTTGCATGATCCGGTCCACCCGTGCAGCTTCCTGCCCCGGAACATTTCGAGATCAGTGGAGATGTCTGGATGCCCGGTCCAGAGACCGGAGACTGTCAAACGTTTGGGTCCCGATCCATTGCTAACGGGGACGCCCGCCGACCGGCGCCAACATCCGAAACAACCCGTCCGGGCCCTCACACCGGTCCGAGCCGGCCGTCCGGGCCCACACACCAGTCCGAACCCTGTGCCGGTACACCTGTCCGAACGGGCCGCCCGGGCCCGCACGCCAGTCCGAACCCCATGCCGGTGCACCTGTCCGAACCGGCCGTCCGGGGCCGTACACCCGTCCGAACCGGCTGCCCGGGCCCGTACAACGGTCCAGATGAGCTGCAAACTTGGTTCATGTGTTTGGCTGCCCGGTCGCCCTCGTGGGGCCTTTCGATGCTTGCCCAACATCACTGGAGCATGCTAACGCATAGTGCATTGGAGGCGAGCAAATATCGAAAACCTATCGTAGGAAAGGCATGCCTTTTTTGGAAAGTGATGGGCCACCAGATATTGATCCTTAGCTGTTTTTGTCGTTACATCCTGCGGCCTGCGCGTAATTTCACCGTGGGGACGGGGTCATATCAAAAATGCTTATTGAAAACTGAGATCAGGCTGAAGTTGCGTTTGTTACTGAAAACTGTCGCGCGCTCCTGGTGCACAACATACTTGCGTGTCGGAAGACAGCATCGTATCTTTCTCATCTTCCTTTGTAACGTGTCCACCTGAAATTTTAAACTACAAGTTTGTTCAAGGGAACGTTCCATATTTGTAAGGGGTTTTGAACTAAAAGAGCAATCTTAAAATGCAGTTCATAGTCCTGTCCTTAGAGGGAATGGCCCATATTTACAGATATTCAAGCAAGCATGAGATATCACGAAATATTCTCACTCGTAACTGCTGGTAAACTTTCAAGTGGAAAAATACTCTAGGTAGCACATTTTCTCTGTCTAGTTTAAGCATATGTTGCATTTACGCATTCAAATATGCTTTTCAATGCGTCATTATTTGATAGCGTCATCGCATCTTGCACAAAATGGATTAAGAGCCAGTTGACGGTCGTGGTATCTGGAAATCATGCTCATGAACGCCAGATATGAACGAATCGATAATAATGCTTTTCTTGACCTTGATTACCACTTGTCTGATGAAAAAACAGAATTTGAATGGGTTATTATGGCCTCAAGGGTGCCGGGGTGACCTTAAGATAGTCTCCCCGAAAAAGTCTACACATCTTCGCGGACATGTAGGTCAGAAATTTGAGTGGCTTAGGTCTCAAGAAGGGCAGGACTGTGAACTGCATCGAATTACCTTTTATATAGCTGTTTCAACTCAAAACGCCATACCAATATGGAACACTTTCTTCAAGACTTACGCCCCTCTAGCTTCTGAGCTGCACGCCCACCACTATGTGGGAACTACTTTAGCGATACTTGTTCTGGGTCCCCCCGCATCCATGACACCATACTGACGTCATTCAAATCCTGCCATTCCACTCGCCATGCGGCGATCAAGACCAAGACACGTCTTTATCTAGTCATTCTTATTTGACTTCTGTGAGCACGATTTCTGGATATAACTGCCGTCAGCCGGCTTTCAATGACCATTGTGCGAAGAATGATGACCTAATCAAACAATGACGCATAGAGGAGCATATCTACTAAACAGAGAAATTGTGATGTCCGGAGCGGTATTTCCACTTAGAAATATACCATGAGTTATAATGGTGCCTATTTCATCACATCTGATGCTTGCTTCAATGTTTCCCATTGTGGAACATTCCCTTTAAGGTGGCGGAGAACGTGCTCCCGGGGATATTATGTGAGTACGCCGTCACGCATGTATCTTACTTTATAGCATTCATTTTATGATAGTTAATGTTGCGAGTACGGGAACCTACAAAGAATAACGAGCACACGCAGGATATCCTTGGCAGTGGCCGTTTACAGTTTAGGTGGTAGCGTGTGGCTCCGGTGCGACGTGTGCTGTACATGAGTCTTCATCTAATTTCCATGCAACTTGTTGGGAAAAACAGCGACGCATAGTGAACAGGGCCGGCAGCTGAACAAGACTTCTTTAAGTTGTTCCTCCGCCTGAGAATAATAAGGCAAATTCTTCACTTTCCGGGCACTCCTGAAACGCCTCCTCGATCCAAATTGGAGCGGTCTGGAATCTTCTTCAAGCAACATCGCAAGCAACATATCTTCTTTGCCACCATCCACGCTTAGAATTTAAGGGGAGATTGCCGCCTTTTTGTATAACTCATTTGTTGTTAGATCAGACGCGTACGAGTTGAATGGTTGCACCAGTTTTGTCGGCATCTTTCTGAATAGCTAAAAATTTCGATTTAATGTAGCCGCACCGACGGGAAGAATGTCATTAGACTCCCTGCTCACTGTTGTGAGAGTCATATGTTTTATTTGCCTTGCTTTTCCAGCCTATGTGTTGCGTATTATATGCAGTACACTGAATGGTCAAAATGCTTGTGCGTTACATGCTTCGAAAGTCTGGAACGCTATTTAAAGAATGAAATAAACAAATATGAGAGACTTTCACGCGAATTTAGCGAAACGTCATACTCTGGCTTGGATTTCTCTCCTTTGGCGTTAGCACACTGGTGCCTTTCGAAGCGCACTTTGCCTTTGGGAAGCAGACGTGCCGCATGGTCTACGGTAGCGCAGTGGTTCGAACCTCCACCAATGCGCTTCTCGGTACTGGCTGACGCTGCTCGATGCGCCAATCACAAACGTTCGTCTCTACTGACGTTACCCAAACCAGAAGAGGTGACGCTTTTAACACCGCAGGCCCACACTGAGAGAGCTCAAAGTGATATTTCTTGGTCGTTAACGATTGACGACAGCACGGAACAGATTCCACCGCGGTCAGCGATTGCAGACTAGGGGTATACTCTGGGGATACAAAGAAAGAAGTCGCTTGCTGTAATGAAACGTCAACTGGGTGATTTGGACACGAAAATTACTACAATTAATTGCTGCTTTTATCTTGCTGATGCTGCGGTGGCGCTATTCAGTGTAGTTATCATGTATACCTAGTCCTGAGGCTGCATCAGGGTATGCTGTTCAATATTCCCCGACGGTGACACACTCCTCGCAAAGCCGATGCAACGGATAAGATAAAACCGGCGAAACGACGCTCACCATCCAGTGGCAAACGAAGCGGCGATGGGGATCTGGTCGAACGGTCGGACGCCCGGAAGGACGTGCGTGAGTCCGGGCGCGGAGAGGCAGCTTCAGCAGCGCCGGCTGGCCGTCCGGCACCGGGGCCCGAAAGCCCGGACGGCAGGGTCATGTGTGTGTAGGGCTCGGGGCGCAGTGCACGGCAGCATACGAGAGGGGTGAGAACATAGGGGAACTGAGGTGAGTCGGACGATGAATGCGATGCTGCTGCTGCTGTCTTTAACTTGTCGGTAGGAACAACTGTGAATGATCATGTAGTGTCCGTCAACACACGATTATTCTCCCAGTTAAAGAAGCTAAATGTCAATTAGAGAAGATCCAGTTCAATCAAACAAATTAACACCAAATGAAAAAAGATTGCTTCCAATCGACGGATATAAACAACAAGGCAAAAATATAAATTTTAACATAAACATGCGATGTACCCGACTGATCGGACGACAACAACCACCATTCAGCTACGGGTGCAGGTGGGTGGTGTAATCTTTCGTTACAAGACTTCAAGCGTGCTTGTATTATGCACGTTTTTTGCAACCTAATGATGCTGCAGGAACTAGCGGCGTTATCTGACACCACGCGAAGACATCCACATATCAGATAAATATACAGTTTGTTTCCCACGACGAAAATGACAACAGAACAAGTTTCAGTTGTTTGGTCAACCTGAGGGCCTGCTGCCAGATGCCGCGCTGAGGGCCCGCCGCCAGATGCCGCGCTGGGGGCCTGCTGCCAGATGCTGCGCTGAGAGCCTGTTACCAGTTGCTGCGCCGAGAGCCCGCTGCCAGATGCTGCGGACATTTGACACGGGAACACTTGATTCCATCACGACGGGTGACGCCCCCCCCCCCCCCCACGCCAGGGATTGCCCCGACCTTCCTGGACGAGCGCTTCGCAGCGCGTATCACAAGCGAAGAGGCAGACAGCGCATAACCGGCGCATTTCCCGAATCTGACCCGTCTAGACTTTTACCTTCCTGAAACCCCGAGTCTGCATGAGAACCCTGAGGGCCTCAGTAACCTGACGAGTGCCTTCAGCCAGGTGACGCACAACGTCATACATGCGACAGGGAAGGGTTACCCGCGAAGGGTTACTGGCGAAGTGGCCCGGCGCGTAGACCTCTGTCTGCTCCTAAGGAGAGGCCCCTGGAGCACATACTAAAAGATCCGTGCTTCAGTGACACTTTTGCTCTAATACATCTGCCAGCGTAACATGTCATTTCTTCTCGATGGATAAGCGAAATCAGGGCACATACTTCTTTCCACTCAGAATATGTATTGCATGTTAACACCGCTGGCCAGATTGGCGAGGACAAACAGCCAGGGGAGCGACACTGGACGGTATGAGCGCAGACATATATGGGCGGTATGAGCGCAGACACATGACATTGCCATGGCCTTGTTATTGATTATACTTGGCACCGCCTCGTTTAATAGCTCGAAAATAAAAGGTTTCGATCGTTTAGTTATAAACAATCAAAGAAGTTATTAAGATGCGGTTCAGTCTACACGCATTGCCCAAACATTGTCAACACAG